ATAAACGGCCCTACATACTTTGGGGCTAAGTTCGCCGCATAATAGCTCGCTGCATCTGACAGCATAAAATATTTCCTCCAAACTAATTCTCCTGGCATGTACTGTACATCTCGACGCCTGAGACTGTACTGCCTCGCAAGTTTCTCACTCGCCTGCTCTAGCCTAGTTCTAACGTTTGCCCTAATCTCTTCGAGTCTTTTTGCTCGCTCCTGGCAATTCAATTTCTCCAGATCTCCTAAGCTGTCTATGAAGTCCCTACTGCCTTCTAGCGCCATTTTCCTGCCAAAATTCACAAAATATGGCGTAGCTCCTAATACTTCGTGCTGCGCTGTCCTGATTCAGCATGCTACCTTCGCTAACTGTTGGTCCCATGTCCTCTGATTCTCTGACACGTAAGCCCTAAGCGTTGTGTTAATAATTTGATTAATTCTCTGGGCCGGATTAGCCTGTGGGTGATAGCGTGCGGTGTACCGGAGTTGGACGCCATAGCCACCGCAGAGGCCCTGAAGCTCTCGACTCCTAAATTGGGGTCCATTGTCACACACATCCGACCGAGGAACTCCAAACAAAAGAAATACATTTTCCTCCAGTTGTTTGCATACGCTTTTTGCCGTCGCAGTACGCAGAGGGAAAAGGAGGGGAAATGTGGAAAAAAATCCCATCTCGCTAACCTACCACCCGGATCCTTCAACTTATTCAACCAAATAAGTGAATAATGATCGGTGACGACCGTAAACTTAGCGCCCTCAATATATGGCCGCAGTTTCTCTACCGCCCACAGAACCGTTAGACACTCCTTTTCGGTCGTCGAATAGTTTTGCTCTCCTTTGTTTAAGGACTTACTCAAATAAGCTATAACCCTCTCACCGTCATCAAACATCTGCGTTAGCACCGCACCTACACCGAAATCAGACGCGTCTGTCTGTATTGTAAAAGGCCTATCAAAATCCGGGCAACTCAAAACCGGAGCTGTCACCAAGCGATCTTTCGCTTCTCTAAAACTCCTTTCACAATCTTCAGTCCAATTGAACTTTCGATTTTTTTTTGTTAAATCGGTGAGAGGTCTAACTAATTCTGCAAAATCCTTCATAAATCTGCGGTACCAGGACACTGTTCCTATGAATGACCGCACTTGCTTTACGTTCTTCGGTACCTCAATCCGAAGCATCGCCTCTACCTTGTCGGGATCTACGTGTAGACCGTTCTTGTCCACCACGTAGCCCAAATACTTCAGCTCAGACCTACAAAAATTACATTTTTCCCTATTGACATCCTCTTGAACTGAAATAGTTCTCTGTCGGGTATCGTAAACGCTGTGAAGGGCCTCGACTGCTCCTCCACCGGAATTTGCCAATAAGCGGACCTAATGTCCAGACTGGACAGAAACTTGGCGTCCCGAGAGTCACTCCCAAAACATTAGCAACAGAATTCACCCTAATACCATACGCGTTAAGTTTTTGCCAACATTGCCGACCTATTACTGTTCTGGTCACACCAGAATCCAACAAAGCCCTAAAGGCAAAACCATAGATCTTAACATCCAAATAAGGGCGTTCGTCGTGACCGTCCGTCACCAACGAAAACGCTAACCTTACCTCTTCAAACAGCTGGGAGTTAGCAGGTTCACTAACTCGCCCTAATAGACCGCCTGACCTGCTGTCCCAGGGGTCTATCTCCTGTTTCCCGATCTGTTGTCCGACCTGACTCCTACTTCAACTCTCGTAGTAGCTCCTCCCAACTACCTACTGTCTTCCTAACCGACCTAAACCATAGTAGAGCTTTCCCTACAAACAGGTCTACCGCGCCGTGGAAAAGTTGAGCTTGAGTCACACCGCGTGCCTCGCTCAACTTCTCAATCCATTCTAAAAATGCAAAAGGCGACATTCCCGCTATTTCGCCGTCAAAGTGGACGTCCCACTTTGCCAAGTTTACCGGCTTCTGAGACTCGACTGTCTCCTCGACCACGCGTCGTATCTCCACGGGCGGGGGTACTATCGGGTCCGCACGAGGGGCACCCGATAGCTTAACCGAACCGATTTCATCTTCGGCTTCTTCACCGTCGACTACCTCTTGCAGTTCGGCGAGATGGAGCAACAACTTGCTCTATAGCTCCATCTGCTGACTCATCTCGCCGTCGCTTCCCGATGGCGCCCGACCTATTCGCGGAAGGCACCATTCAATCTTTGCCATCGCTTTCGCTCCATGCGATGGCTTGCCTCCTTTCGAAACCGACAAAATTAATTTTCCTACCTCCTCCACTTTCGACTCGACCGCCGTCTTATCCTCGTCGAAACTGAAGGGATTGTCCTGAAATAGGTTTACCGAACCTCTTCGCTCAATTGACCGCGATGCCCTTAGCGACTTACGCATGGCCTCGACCGTACCGACTGGAAGACCGCGTGCCTCCATCTCGTACGCGAGCTCATCCTGCGCTAAACGATTAATCTCTATATTATAATTGAAAAAAAAAACGTAAACTCAAAAACAAAGAAAAAAGCCAAAGAATAAAAATTATTAAAACAACCAAATTTTGATTTTATTAACAATTAAAAAAAAGAATCTATCACCCTAATGTTTCTTCCACGTTGCCCTATACTGCACAGCAAAAGACCCTATCACGAAAACAACAATAGAGCCTAACCACAAGTAACAAAAATGTTTATAAAATAAAAAACATATATTGTCAACGCTGACAATACAAAAGTTAAGGAACAAATTTCTTTTTAAATAAAATTGAAAAAAAACAATATTTAAAAAAAAAAAATAATATTAACACAAATTTTTAATTCACAAAAAAAACACCAAAATCCACGATTTTACTCGGCAGGACAACTACTGGTTACTTTTGGATCAGTCTCCACCCTCCAGACGAACAATTATTTTCTACCGGTACAAACGCTCAAATAAATTTACCGCAACAAACAAAAAAAATTACAAAACGGAACGGACTCACGCAATTCCTTGGTACAAGCAAAGCTTATTAAGGGCCTGGGTTCGACTCCCACTCTCCGATTACTTTCCACTCGTGGAATGCCCTACTAATAATAAAAATAAAAAAAATTGCAAATTGTTAATAATTTTAAAAACAAGAAACCAAAAACACAAAACGCCACTACACTACAACTATACCAAAAGAAATATTCTATCGGGCCCCACGTTGGGCGCCAATTTGTCACCTCCACTTTTTTATCTACAATATGTATGTGCGCATGTACATACATACATGCAATCAATCCATGGCTTCAAATAATGCAACTATTTGCCGACAGATGTCACTGCCAACGCTTGGAGTTAAAGGAAGCTTAGGCAAAACAAAGGAAGTGAACAAACAAACACAAAAGAAGTTTTTGTTGCGGCCAGTACGCGACAACCTAAGTGTGTTGAGGATCCCAATAGATAATACCTTTATAAAAGAGTTAAATGTTAGCATCAAGAAAGGTACTCAACTTAATACTTTTAAATATACATGTTCTGTTGTCGAGTTGAATCATTTTATTTTTAAAAATATTTGAAGTTCTTTGAACGTAAATTTTGCTTTAGGAAACAATTTAAATGGTAAGAGCAAGCAAAGTGTTAAACATATTTTTTGTGCGTTCGAACATTAAAAATTACCGTAAAATTTGCATTGCTATTGTGACTTACTAAAAGTATTTAACTACGATAAATATTTGTTCCTTTTTGTCTACATTGTGTTTCTATTGTAGAATTCACTTACTTTACGAAGGCGGTGAAGTCATTAAGGGCAAGTTCATAGCCAAGCTAACGACATATTCCATGTGTGTATAACGGGTCAAAGTATTTCTTGGCGCTATATAGTTGGCTATGGCGTTCACGGCATCGTTAAAATCGGCATCAATTTTTTCTGCGCTTGCGCCACTACCACTTATGACATCTAATAGACTACCAAAGTTTGACGTTATCGGTGCACCACTAGTACAGCTGCTGCTGGCAGTCGCTGCAGCTACCACGGCTGCAGCTGAGCTATGATGTGGTGACTGTGCATGCGATGCAGCTGCAGCTGGTGCCGGTATCTCTCCATGGCGAGCAATTTTGCTCGTGAAAAATTCTCTTCAAGAGAGGCTTGTGAAAATCGACTGTCTCAATTTTTTTCGACTTGGAGCGAGGACTTCTATAAGAGGGGTATAATGAAATTATCTTTAAAATGGCAACAAGTTATCGAACAAAATACTTCAACTACTCATCTGAGGTATAATTCCATCTATATCGATTTAGGAGTTTTCTCCGTATATAAGAGGATGAACCGTTTAATGTTAGAGTTTTAAGCCAGAAGTTGGAAGTTTCGGTTAACGATTCTGAACCTTTCTACCCATGATAATAATATTTTATCATCAGAGATTTATGAACTTGTATTGGATGTATAGTTTAAGCTTGGTGCTTGTTATAGAATCCGGAATGTGTGAGTCTTAATATGAAGTCCTTTGAGCATTCTTTATTTTCTAACTGAGTGAACTACGGTGTGAAGAGTTGAACAGTTTAGCTTTCAAGGGCTTGTGACGTTTTTGAGTTGCGGGGAGATTTCAACTCCTGTGCAAACGAGAAAACTTATTTAGTTAATAGTTCGAATTGGGATATGATCGGTTCGTCGAGCTTTACTGGAAATCTTGCTCCGCAGAAATGTGTTCGTGAGAGTGAGATCTTTTTCAAGAAAAGTTTGCTGTTGGGAGTGAGACTTTTTCTGACTGAGCTTCTGTTTCGTCAACTAGTCTCAAAAGAGAGGCACTTTTTTATTGCAGTTTCAGTCTCATAGTGAGTTAATTCATGTTCGGTCATTCAACAGAAAGTTTTATGTTAACAGACGTACTTCCACTACTAATCTAACCATTTCGGAAGTTGCGGTATATTTCTTGACCGCGTGATGAGGGATGATACTTTTATGATGAAATTTTTTCTATAAAAATTCCTCTTTTGCATTAGTATTAACATAAATGCATATATTCAGCAGTTGGCGAAGGGAATGCTTCTCCTCTTTAAANTTTTTCCACACAATTTAGCATTTCAAGCTTCCTTCGTTTACAGCCAGCTTTTTCATTCATATTTCTTAGCTTTGTGAAAAATATCGCGAGAAGATCCGATTTGGAAATCATATTTCTCTGCCGTTCGGTACAAAACTACCTTTTAGAGATGATGTCGCTTCATCGAATGACTTCTTCATCATAACAATGGAGCAAAATGCAAGCTGCAGAGACTAGTATACAGGAAATGAAAATAGGAAGTTATCGAGGAGAAGACGTAACATATTGGTTTCCACGTTCGTAAGTTTCAAATATTTTACAATTTCATCTATATATATATATATATATTATACATTCGAATACCAAATCTTGCCAAATTGAGAGACACCGGCTATGGAAATTGATTTTTAATAAATATTTTTCGGTTATAATTGCTTTAGCACTGCCTATTTCAAATAGCTTAGTTTGAAATCACGTTTGATCTCAGCCAATGAGTCCAAACGAATTGAGCTTCAATTGATTATATGACAATTATATGAGAAATTTAATAGCAAAAGACGTAATTTAATTTCTTGTATACACTAAAATGGTTGATTTCATAGGGTTAGCTGGTTAGTAAAAATATTTTTTAAAAACAATATGTGCGCAATGGATGCAAATTAACCGTTTTGTAACTTGATTGGAAATATTCATTACAGTAATTATAATTCATCCATAAGTTCTTCCTTTTGATGTTTGTGTGGCTGTTCCATCCGACCAAAGTGATATTATCTGACTTACGGGAACGTGATTTTCACAATGTTCCATTGTAGATATGAGAAGACCTCCATCGCTGTGTGTCTGAAATATCTACAGCTGTGTTTTTGTATCCGAAGAAAAGTAAATTTTCTTGTACAGCTCAGAATCTCACCAAGCAAAAATACACCTAGTTTAAAATCTCCGCTATCATGGATATATCTTGCTTTTTATTGACAGGATGCAATAAAAGCCCGGTAAACACGATTATGGTAAACTCTAAAATCAAAACGCGGAACTATTAAAAATGCCTCACATGCGATGGCTTTTGAGCGGAGCAGATTATTATAGAGAGAACTACCGAGGTGGAAGCAAACGAGTTAAGTTTTAAGTCACACAATTTCGCTGGATACCGGAAAAGATCATATGGCTTCCACTCACTGAAAATGGAACATAATTTGAAGGTAACTCAGATCTTGCCTTATAAAACGGTGTGCAGGTGAAATAGGGTATCTTTGATTAGTAGATGAACAAGAAGCTATATGACTGGAACATTGTGCTGCAGACCTTCCTTGACCTAAGTGTGTTGATGATCCCAATAGATAATACTTTTATAAAGAGTTAAATATTAGCATCAAGAAAGGTACTCAACTTAATACTTTTAAATATACATGTTCTGTTGTCGAGTTGAATAATTCTATTTTTAAAAATATTTGAAGTTCTTTGAACGTAAATTTTGATTTGGAAAACTATTTAAATGGTAAGGCAAACAATAGTGTTGAACGTATTTTTTGGGCGTTCGAATAATAAAATTTACCATAAAATTTACATTGCTATTGTGACTTACTAAAAACATTTAGCTACGATAAATATTTGCTCCTTTTTGTCTGCATTGAGTTTCTATTGTAGAATTCACTTACTTTACGAAGGCGGTGAAGTCATTAAGGGCAAGTTCACAGCCAGGCCAACGACATATTCCATGTGTGTATAACGGGTGATAGTATTTCTTGGCACTTAATATGTTATTTTTGCTAGCAGTATTTGCGGCGTTCCCAGTAGAGTTGGATATGGCGTTCATGGCATCATTAAAATCGGCATCAATTTTTTCTGCGCTTGCGCCACTACCACTTATCACATCTAATAGACTACCAAAGTTTGACGTTATCGGTGCACCACTTGTGCAGCTGCCGCTGGCAGCCGCTGCGGCTACCGCTGCTGCTGCTACTACCACGGCTGCAGCTGCATTATGATGTGGTGATTGTGCATGCGATGCAGCTGCAGCTGGTGCCGCAGCTGCAGATGGCAAAGTCGTTGGCTGCGGAAGCGATTGGGGCAGTGTTACTAGGGACGAAACTAGGGAAGGTGTGCTTTTTCCTAAAAGAAGTTGCGGTTTTTGCTGCTGCTGTTGCAGCGTTTCTTTCTGTCCCCGTAGCGTTTGAGTGACGTTGGTTAGAGAAATGTCATCACTTGAGCAAGAATGAAGCTTATAACTAAGGCTTTTATCATTGTCATTGTTAATTGTTGTAAATTGCTTGCTATTTTTACTACTTAAGCTTGGACATGGGCTCCGACTGCCGCTACGACTTCGGCTTCTACTTCGATTACGACTTCTGCTTGTTTCTCCGGTAATACGTTGTTGATAATGTATGTATGCTACGGAGTATAACGAAAAAATATAATATTTATTATATTAAAACATATAGATAATTTTTGCAGTGATTAAGGATTAGCTAGGCATCTAAACTAAATATACTTTCATTCAATCACCATTTATATCATCAGTTACATTGCTGACTTGATCAATGGTATTTGTCCAAGATGAAAACTCATCCATTTCCTTTGTCGTGCTCCGACAATTTCGCCCATTATTGTCTTCGTCGAGCGAAGGAGACGGCGACGATATTGGCAAACGTAGCGTGGGTGTTGGTCGTGGAACTTGCTGGCTGTAGCAATGTGTAGATAAAATGTTATGTTGAGAATTATTACTACTGTACGAATTGCCTATCGAGGGCGGGCGTACGCGTGGAGTAAAGGGCATAGCGTTTTCATTCACTGCTGGCATTGATTCATACCCTGGAAAACTATTATTGCCGATAAGGCTACTTTCTTGGTCATCGGCATTTCCAGATGTTTTACTCATTACATCGCTTACATCCAGTTCTTTTTGCCGTTGCTGTTTTTGGCGAATAATGCACTTGTGTTTATGGAAAGCGTTGTTATTTCCACTTTCGATATTATTTTTGGTATTTCGTTTATAATGTTCATAACTAAAATTTGCCGCTCTACTGCAACGGTATGAAGAAGCAGATCGGCTAGTGGGCTGCAATAGCTGATCGTCTTCCATGGACTCTATAGTTGCGGGCTTGAATTCATCACATAAACTACTTTCATCACTCTCTCTATGTGATGTATCACTTGTAACCGATTTACAGTCTGATTCTATCCTATATGAGTGGTGGTTGTGCTGTTCTGATTGTTGGTCGCGTGGTTTCGATGTTGATTTTATAAGTTTGATAAACTGTTTGCTGTCACTAGAAATTATTGTGACGTTATTGTTTTTATTATTATTATTCATGTTCAAATGCATGCTTTTCATTTTATTGCTAGTTGATAGGGTGTGAATGTCTTCCTTGTATTTTTGTTGTCGCCCTTGATGCTGTCTATGTTCATTGACTGGAATATTCAATTTCTGATCATGTTGGATGTGCATTTGTTGTTGATGTTGTAACAAATAACTCGTTTCATTGTACTTATCATTGCCTGTGCCCAACGAGTTCTGTGGCAAATGTAATTGCTGATGTCCTCTATTTAGTGAACTCCAATTGCAATGGTTTTACAAAACCTGTAATATATAATCAAGTACAACTAAAATTTTAGGGATTATATAAGTAAAAAGTCAAACAATAAAATATTAAGAATATCATATTTTTCTGTCTTCGATAAAATATGCACAGGAGAAAAGATGCTCAATATATAATACATATTATAATATACTACTAAACTACGTACAACGCAACGCCCAATGGTGATCGGGTTAATGCTTCGTCACGGGAGCATAATTAACTTCGGGAAGTGAGTACTGGTTTTTAGAACAAAAGGCCACGAAAGGCGTATGAATATTAGCTGATTCGTTAACTATTGCCAGATAAGCGCATGCCTAATGATTGGAATATAAGCCTGCTCTATACAATCCATAAAGGCAGTAGTCTGCGCAGGATATGGTAATCTCACCAGCATCGTAACTCCGCATTCATACTAACGGTAATTTGATTGAGCAACGCATACAAATTTTTAAAAAAAAGTTGTCAAACTTAACCGACGTATCCTTGCTCGGCTTCGTGGTTTCTAATTTTAATACCAATAACCTCATGGACTAAATAGGGTAATATCAAGTATTCAATCATTTAACCAAGTGAATAGTTTTTGATTTAGCGCAGTCATAAAATTTATAAATTAACAAACAAGCATAAACAAATTATAAGCATGAACATTTAAAAAAAAAAAAACAACAAATACAGCCTTGGCTAAAAGTATTAGTCACCTCTCTAGTTACTAAATTTTTTGTTTTAACAATTAAAGTAATGAAGTTTTATTAGTATAACAGTGAACATACAATGAATTAGTGATAATAACATTAATATTTAGTAGGTCCACCCCTCGATTTAATAACGGCAACAATTCTCTTAGGCATGCTGCCTATAAGCTTTGCACATTCGTCCGCACTTATTCCGTACCACTCGTTTATTATGGCATTCTGCAAGGCAGTTTTTGATGTAATGCTGTTTTTCTAAATCTTGCGTTTAAAAATAGCCTACATGTGCTCAATGGGACTAGGATATGAAGGCTGTGCAGGCCAATATAATAAAACAATGTTGTTATCTGTAAACCAACGCATCGTAGTCGCTGATTTGTGACTTGCTGAAATCGAACCCCGTCTAAACGAAGACAGAAGAACAGCTTCTATTACATTTAAGTACTGTCCATGCGACCCTCGCAAACGAAAATTTCGTCGGCACCATTAACATCCATGCAGCCCCAGATCATAGTGCTGCCCCCTCCATGCTTAACAGTGGGTACCACGCAATCAGGATGATGTTCTTCCCCAACACACAAAGTGTTCCATATATCTGTAGAAAAGAACAAAAATGTTTTCATAAGATTTTTACTATGTCTTCAAAATGGCTCTTGCTAAACTAAGTATCCCTCGAAATTTGATTCATCAGACCACAGAACATTCGACCAATCTTCTTCCGTGAAATGTTGGTATCGGCGAGCCCATTCGAAACGATTTTTCCTATTCTTTTTTGAGAGCCACGGCTTCTTTCGGGCTTTACATCCTACTAAACCCGCTTCTTCTAGCTGTCCGAACACTAACTGGTTTACTAAATTCATCCGAAAGGGCAGATGCAAGTGCAGGAGAAGATTTTTTGCGATCCTTGAGAGACTTGTGTATAAGTAAGCATTCAGTCTATTCGTTTACTGGTTAAACGCTTTATTCAACTTTTTGATTTATTATTGTGGGATTTCGTCTCCACAAATCACTTGATAGCACATTAGACCGCGCACAGCGAACATCCCACCAAATTTGCAACCTCAATCTGAGACTTATGGCCTATTTCCACCAAGCACGTAAATGCATTTAAGGTTACTGTTAAGTAAAAGAAATGTCAAACGTTTCCACCGAAAGCGAGTTAACTCAAATAGCTGATTTTTGTTTGCATTTGAAACTTGAAAATATTGTTATAAGTATTGTAATCATTTTATTTTGCTATTTATAAAATATTATGATTTGCATAATAAGTGCAGATTAGTGCTGAACGAGCAGACGCTGCTGAAACGAAAGTGCATTTTTGCATGTTTACAACTTTTTTTGGAGATAGCACCCAATTTTCTTTTAGTTATAAAAGAATATAGGGCAAAAATAAGTCCAATTATTTGGAGAAAGATATGTACATATCACATCATAATTGTAATTATTTTATTGGTGCCCCTTACGATCGAACGAATTTTATTTTTGGAAAAGGAGTGCCAAGAATGTAGCGCTTTAGATTTCAAGAACATCTTCCGCTTGGAAAGGCAACCCTTCTTCGAATTGTATGATATTTTTAAAGGTATCGGAAAAGAAGAAACCAATTACCGAAAGACTATTACCCTTAAAAAGCGTGTCGCTATTGCGTTATATGCACTTGGATCCTCTGCAGAGTACCAAACGGTTGCAAGTTTGTTCGGTGTGTCCAATTTTAGCGTATGCAGAATTGTTAGAGAATTTTGTACTGCGGCTTGGAATGCTTTGAAACCTAATGATCTGAATTAGTTTCCATTAACTGAGACGGTGGCTCAGACTATTGTAAATGATTTTAACAATATGGGATTTCCACAATGCATTGAAGCGTTAGGTATGATGAGGTGATTGCAAATAATATTGAGATTCATATTAATATAAATGTGTATATGTACATAAATAAAATTAGATGGAGGTCATATTGAAGTCAAACCAAAGAAAGAGGACGATGTGGACTACTACAACTATAAATGATGGTATTCTGTGGTGCTGTTGGCTTTAGTTGACAAATGTTTAACTTACTTAAGTAATGAAATAGATTTCAATTTCCATGTTGGTATTGGTTTTTATATATAAATATTGGCAGTCCAGGAAGATGCAACGACTGTGGAGTTTATGAAAGTTCCTCATTAAAAGCAGAACTATTGCATTGCGAGTTGCTTTATGATCAACGGAAATCTTTTAACAATGTGGAAATCCCATTAGTTATTAAAGCAGGCTCAGCTTTTCGCTTGCCATATCCATTTAAAGTGGAAAGTACACCTGCACAACGCGAATTCAACTACCGCCTCTCTCGTTGCCGCATGATTGTTGAAAATGCATTTGGACATTTGAAGGCCAAATTTCGACGCATTGGAAAAGGGTTGGATAATCCTATCGATAATACAAACGCTATAATAAAAGCTTGCTGCGTACTCCACAATTTTTTTGATTTCACAGAGATTATATTACCGACATTTGGCCTCCTGATGCTGGCTCCATGAATGAAGAGGAAAGTAGAGTTATTCCACTGAGCGAAAGAAGATTTAACTGCTACCGAAACGCCTTAAGCCAAACACTTTGCCCAAAAGTAATTTTAAACATATGTATCTAGAAATTTATGTCTCTTTAATTATTCTTTATTACAGCTCAATTCAGTTTTCAATTTAAACATTAAATGCATACATATATTAAATTAATATTAAAAATACAAAAAAGAAAGTAAATAAATTAAATATTGGAATTCAGTTACTACTACTACTGTGTACATTAAATTATTTAAAAAATCCATAATTTTTGTTGCTAAGATGTGGCTTGTTTCGCACATTGCAGCAAGGCTTTCTGTTTTTTCTTGTCGTTTTCCGTCAAGTCTTTTAAAGCGTTTTCAATATTCATGCAACATTTATTAAGCGTAGCAGTTATCTCCTGATAATTTGCTGTAGCCGGGTTTTGTTACCGGCTCGAGCGTGTATGTTGCGTTAAGCGCAACGTTGATTGCTGCTCGCTATCCGAGGATAACCCTTGCTGCGAAAAGGCATGAGATATCGCGCTCAAGGACGCCGGTGGCACCTGTGTATCTACTAAATTATAATACAAAATACATATTAAAATATGAAATCTTAGTTTATGATTTTGTTAGAAAAATACATTCAACTGAAACTTCCCTCCACAACAACTTCCACATTCATCGAACGGTAGCCGCCAACAATTTTAGCCACGTATATTATTATGTTGAGGGGATCGTTTGATATTTCACAATTGCTTTTTGTTTGTTTCTTAGAGTTTTTTTTTTTTGAAAGAGGAGAAGAATTCTCTTCGCCAATTACTTAATATATGCATTTATGTCAAACCTAATGCATAAAAGTAATTTTTAAACAAAAAAATTCATCATGAAAAATAAGAGTATCGTACCTCATTAAATCCGAAAATACACGACTCTGGCAAAAAATACACCGAAATTTCCGAAATGCTTACAAATAAAATTTTCTGTTGAATTTCCGAAAGTGAGTTACCTCACTTTGAAAAGTGTGTTAACTCACCTTTATACAACAACAAACAAATGGGAATTACCGCAACGCGATGTTTAAATGCATTTAAGCTAAAGTGCATTTAACGTCCGGTGGAAGTAGGCTATTACCTTCTTCACTTAGAACTTTGAATTCTAACTCTATCATCGTAACTTATTTTACTTGTTTTAGGCATATCGGTAAATATGAAATGATTTTGTAAGATTGGTAATTTTTCACTAAATGTAATTTACACTTTCACTTTCACATTTAAAAAGCGAAAATACTTTGTGAATTTTTTAAAAATTAC